TTTAAGAATCCCCTTAACCACCCACAGAAGTTTGCTTCTTGAAAACTATTTTCTCATCTCTGCCGCACAGATTTTCTGCTCTTGCTGGCAAAGTCCGGGACAGAAGCGAGCTTAACTTTGCTTTCAATTTCCCTTGGCGATCTCCCTTCCCTCGCCCCAGAAGCTGTACAAAGGATTAGGGTTGCAAGGGAAAAACTCCAAATTTTCACAAAAATGTCCCCGTCACAAGGGTTAGGCAATAGCTCCTGCACTGTGGAGTGACCAGGTGCAACCTATGTGAGACCCTTGCTCTGCACTGTCTTCACAATGGCACCTCCTCCGTGGGTCCCACGAGCTATGGGCCACTGAGATCCAGGAAGATTAAAACTTCTTGTGCCCCTCCAAGCACAGCTCAAAGGAAGGCTCCCCAAACTCTCGTTTGCAGAAGTTCGAGAAGGATGTTCTGTACCCAAACTCTTGGTTTAGACAGGGCGTGGGTTGCTCCATCTGCATTTTGGAAATCAATTCAAACTGAGTCTTGGGTGTTTTTAGGCTGTGTCTGCTTTCTAGAATTCAGCATATACGGCTCACTCCTCATACTTTTCTGGGATTGACTTCAGACCCTTTCTTTTGCTTTTTAACGAAAAGGGGAACTTTTGGCAGCTAGTTTTGGGGATGATCAGGAAGTGATATAATACCTGGGACTTGCTATGAGAAACAGCTGGTATTGGTGTGGATTGAAGGGCTACTGAAACTACCCTGATTTTTATCTCCATTGCTCCCTGTGAAGTCCCTTGGATTTCCTTCTTTCCTTGCTCCCTGGATAAGGTCCCAGGATGTCCAATGGGACAGGTCGCAATTTACCTGTTGGGAAATAAGCTTGAAACCTTTACTGTACAGGTTGCACATTTTTCCTCTGAAGACTTCATGAATTTGGGAGGTTGTGTACCAGGAATGGAGCCTCAAAGGCCAACGTGGCTGCAAATCAATTTTTAATGGTCCTGTTTTAACGGTCCTGTTTTAATGTCTGTTTTACTTGTGTAATGTTGCATGCATTTTTATTGTGGTACAGACTTCTAGGCATTTGATAACTAAATAGGTGATGATCTCTACTAAAACATGGCTCCAAAGCAAGAGACGAAAAGGGACAGTGAACACCAGGAGGTCCCGGAAGAAAACCAAGCCCCTCTTCTCTCCAGAGGGATCAGAGAATATGCCACCCTAAACTTTGCTAGAATTGCTGCTCAAGAGAAAGCAGCTATGGTCTGCGTCCCCTTGGACCGTACCCTCCAAAGTCCTCAGTGCTGTTCGTGGTTCAAATGTTGCATTCCAAGATACACATGTTTGGGAACATTAAGTACATAAATAAATGCCATTTTCTTGGTGAGTGTGTGGTTGTTTTTAAATTGCAGAGACAGGATGGAAACATAGTTCAATCAGAGTACATGTTAAAATTTGCCAACTTGATTCCAGGATCACCCAGGATAATCACAGGCAATTTAAGGAAGGAGGATCCTCTCCCAGCAATGTCTCTGGCAGATGGTTATTCCAAGATTGTCTTTTTTTGCATGTGGACCCATCAGCGCTAATGGAGATATCCCAATGCATTTAAGAAGCTATTTGGGCTCAAACAATCTTCACACCAACTGGCAAGAAAATTGCATTGGTCAATGGCACAACTGTAGGTCAGTGGCTGGCAGCGTTGCTCTTAAGATCCTAAGCTAAGCTAAGATCTGATCCCAAACTTCCCCAGACCACTGTTCCAAAAATATTATATCCATAACTCCTAATCAGGTATAGAAAGACTTTTGCATTCTCCTCGACTCTATAGTAATGGGTGGGGAAAAAGAACTTTTTGTCTATCCAGGCTATTTTAATTCTTTGTTTGGGACATGAAAGGTGGGGGTGAGAGAAAGAAGCTTGCGGAAAGCAATGCTCTACCCTTCAGAAGCCATGCCAACAAATTTTTTTGGAAAGAGATGAAAGCACACCACATTAACAATTAAGAAGAATATTCACAATAGGGAAGGTAGACAGAACACTCCCCCCCTCCCAATACATTCTTGCCAAAAGTAGCTGCAGTTTGGGAATTTACCAGGGCCAAGAAGTGGGGGAGCACTTTGGTGACCCCGTGGAGTTGCAGAGTTCAAGCAGCCAGGATCCGCTCAAATACTCTGTGAGGCGGACAAGGCCCGAGGGCAAAAGCAGCTGTGATTGTGCCTGTGTTGAGTACCTCCAGTACATACATTCGAAGTCTCCAGAAGCTCAAGGCAGGAATGCCCAAGCAAGAATGCAGAATAACTGTTTGGCGCTGCACTCTTTGTCCCAAGACTGGAACACTTCTTTCGGCATAAAATCCTGCAGCCTGGAGGTGTTTAGACACACAAACTGGGTCAGGAACCCCAGGCTTCTTAGTTCCTGCTGGAATTTCTTGCATGTGTGCAGCGGTGGACAAACGGGTGCTGCAGCAGAGAAAGGGGCAATGCTCAGAATAATTCAAGCACAATTCACTGGGGAGAAGGCCAGAGGTGCAGAAAGGACTTTGATGCTCCAGAATGGGCCCCGTTCTCTAGACGCAAGAGAAAGCAAAGCCAAGTCCTAGGAGTGAGGTTTATAAAGGGCGCATTCCATGAGCATGTCAGTAGTAGGGAAATGCCACATTTCTGGGCTGTCCAACAGCCCAAGCTGCCTACAATGCGCACTCCCCAGCAACGCAGGATGGGAGACTTGGGTAGAAGGGTGCAGTTCCCCCCTCCAGCTTGTGGGATCCTTTTTGCAGCTTGTGGGTCACCATGAAGGCAGAATTCTGGACAGATGGACCCTTGATCCAATCCAGCTTTGAGGATTCGTCTTATCTGGAGATCCCGTACGTCTTCAATCCTGAGCACCTTCCTTTAAAGAGAATGGACTCACCACTGGAGGGCAGAGTCTTTTCTGCCCAAGACCCTGGAGAGGTGATGCAGGAGGCAACCCGTCTTATTTAGGGGTCCCAATCCCTCCCTAGCCACACCCTAAATCCATCCCTATTCTAAAAGATGGGAAGACTGCTCCCTAAAGTTTACTTACTGGCAGTCCGAATTTAATGCTAAAAGAGACTGGTAGTTCAGTCTCAACACTATGGACTTGGTCCACCCCGAAACACAGATTCTTCTGGGCTCGATGGACCTTAAGGGAGCTTTTAAAGCTCTACACACACGCACGCGCACACACACTGATGTTGCAAACCTTTCTGATTTGCATCAGGCAGAAGGAACATAGACATTAGTGTATTAAGATAAGTAATCAGGTGCTGAATGAACCTCCAGAGCTAGGCAGAAGTTTCTACCAGCTCCAGAGATCAGATATCCAGGCAGGCGGACCAACACCTTTGCCCTCCACACAACTCCTGAGCCAAGGAACCAAAGAGCAAAGCTGCTGGGTCCATTCTGGAGCAGAGCATCAACAGGGATGCTGCTATAGTGATCCATTTTGACTCTTTAAAAGCGAATCAGAGGGAGGACGCTCAGCCGATGCGACAACCTCTAGGCAGAGGGAGTGATACGAGGGGTGTTTTAGGTTACACTTTCTTCTAACCAGCTGCAACTTCAAAAAGTGCTGCGTGCAGGAACCTGTTTCACTCCCTAGCAGGAGAAAAGGAGCTGTAGCACACGACCCAAATCAAAGCGATTCCTTTGATTATGAAGTTCATATCGCTTTCATGTTAAAGGAAGACATCCAGGACAAACCTGGGAAAGAGGGCTGGGGTGGGAAGGAAAATCCCCCTTTTATTACCATGTGCTAAAAATAAAAGCAATGGGGATTCCCCCACCAAACCTGAACTTCTTTTATCCAGCCCGTTTTTAATGCGCAAAGGACCTTTCATGCACAAGCCATAAAAGGGAAGTGCACAGGACACACAGATGCTGCACCTTAAACACGGGGCTCATTCAGAAAGCAAAGCGAACCGAACCAAACAAAGCAAAACTCACTGGTTTGTTTACATTTCATCAACCTCACTTTTCCTTTCTTTCAACACAAACATTTTTAAAAGCGACATTTAGAAGTCCACCGGACAGCTTTCCAGCTCTGTCAGGCAAACCCTTTTATGTCTCGACCTTAACCACAGGTAAGAATCGACCAATGCAGATGGTCTGTGCAGCATGGCTTCTTCAAACCAAGTGTTGTTCCCCCATTTTCCAAGCTTGTCCTGCCTCCCAAAACCTGCTTCCACCTCTGAATTCGAGGGAAGCAGGGTTCTTCCAGAGCGCTTTGGCGACAGGCAATATAGAAAGGAAACAAAGAACAACATTTTTTGAAAGCCGTCCTGAGACGCTAGTAGTGGATGAGTCAGAAAAGCTTTTAATAATTAATAAATAAATAATAGTAACCTAACAGTGGGCCCAGTACCTACTTTTCTACCTCCAGGTCCAGGTGATTCTCTTGTCTTCCTCCCTTCCTCTAGAGATGTGAATGCCCAGAATATCACGCAGGGGGAAGCAGGACAAAACTGGAAAAATGAGTGTTCCCTATCCCAATTTTTCTGACTTTAAGTGCCCCCCCTGCCCCCAGGCCTTGATGTTTCCATCCCCCTAGCAGGTCAACCAGAAGAGCCCTAACCTGCCATGTGAATGAGCCCCTTCACCTGCACACACCTGATCTGGAATGCTACCTACCAATTAAAAAATCAAACTCAGAATGAATGGTCCCAACGATCTTCAAGCAATTCACACCCAGAGCAGCTGAGACCCCCCCAACCCCCCCTCCAAACCAGGCCAAGGGGTGAAGCTTTCATCTTTTACCCATGAGGAAGGTAACAGCCTGTTTTCAGCTGAACTGGCCTTTGGATCATCCTCTTCCAACGCACAACTTGGAGCAAGGACAAGAAAGGATGACGGCCATTGTACATGAGATTTTTAAAAATCAACATGAGTACCTTCTGTTGACATGTCCATTTGAAGAGCTTTGGAAAGGAAAATAAACCGTCTTTACTTAGTACAACAACAACCCAGTAAGAGGGAAAACATGCGGTGTTTGAGCGGTACCTGATCCTCCAAACTGTGTGCTCGCGAGCGTTGTGGGTCGGTTTTTTCCATTGGCCACTGGCAAGGGGAACATCTGAGGGGACAAACAGTAGAGAGATTAGCACAAAGAAGTAGAGAGAAAGGATGGTGGAAGGCCGGATGGGTCACTGTTAGCTCCAAACTTTCCAAAGCTGGAGCAGTTTCTTCTTTCTTGATTGAAGGCTCAAGAGGAGAGCCCTTTCGGTTGAAACATGCTGGTTGTGGAATGAGCTCTCTGGGGCCCACTTCGTATTCCTTCCCGCATCAGGCAAAGACCTTTTTATTCTCCGAGCATTTTAACTATTTAACTTTTCAACTTATTTTTCTAATACTTTTGTTCTAATGCTTTTATTTCTAATGGTTTTATTCTGCACCACTGCTGTGCTTCTATGCTGATTCAATTCCAATTGTGTACGTTTTTTAAAGAAATGTTTTATAAACATTTGTTAACTGCCCAGAGGACCTCAGCTATTGGGCAGTATAAAGATGAAATAATAAAATAAACCAGAGGTACATGAGACTTTATAACACCCACCCCCCATCACTCAATGTAGATGACAGAATAATTCTCTCAAAAGGTGTTTGCTTTGCAACTGTTACACCATTTAAAAAATCAACCTATTATCTAAAACAGGATTTCAAAAGTCAATCAATTCATCAGTTGAATTTAAAGACCAATGACAAATGTTTAATCCATTGAACATGCTCCTTGCGTAATTGCTAGCAAAACTATTTTTCAATTAATTATTGTTAGTCCTAGTATTTATTAAAAATTGCAGGCTGACAGATGCCATCTCCAAAGAGGTGCCCCGTTCCTTTCTCCCATGCACACAGAATGCCTCTTCTAACATGATGCATTCTTTCCCAGAAGAGAATGCCTCTTCCAAAACAAGGCATCACTCCTCTTCTCTCCAGCGAAAGAGGCCATGACATCTAGCCATTTAAAGATACTTGCTGCTACAACAAACACACGCATCATTCCATAGCAAAGGAAGTGTAGTTTGTTGTGTATGGTTGCTTTGTTTTTTGTAAGCCGTCCAGAGACTTCAGTATTGCACGGCCTATAAAAACTTTAAATAAATAAATGTGTTTCTCGCATTAAAGTTTTGTGCTCGTAGGCCAACCAAATTAATTAAAATGTCTTTCACCGGGTAGGAAGCAGTGCTTGTTTGGAGGGAGAAATGGAAGGTTTCTATGATATGAACTATTCCATGTGAAAAGCGATGCAATTGACTTAAACCATCTCCAGGGTTCCCAAAGCCATGGGCACTTGTGGGAGTAGCTGGCGAGGTTGTGAGAATGCAGTCACTGGAGGAAAGCTTATTATTTAAAAAGATGCTCCTTCCTACACTGTTTTCCACCTAGTGTGTTACAGGCCTTCATTCCTCCATCAGGAACTAAAAAAAAATTGGACAGAAACCCTTATGGGGCAGAATCAAACACCACAAAATTCATTTGATCGCTATTTTAACAGTTAAAGTTTTTAAATGTTTCAATATTTTATTTTATTTTATTATCCCCCCTTCTTCACAGTTGCATTTTATAAAGTGATGTGTTTTTTATTGTTTTAATAATTAATGTTTTTATGGTAGTTTTATATTTATTGTATTTTTATCTATCTTCTAAGCCGTCCTGAGTGCTTGAAGCAATCAGAAGGGGTATAAATGTATGTATGTATGTATGTATGTATGTATGTAATAAATAAATAAATAAATAAAATCAAGCCCTCAGTCGGGACTCAAAGAATGACTTTCAATTGATCTGAGAGATGCTCAGCTTGGGTCAGGATAAAGGAAGGAAGGGAGATAAAACTTCAAACCGGTTTAAAAACATTTGCATGGTGCCAGATCAGAAAGACTGGAACATCCGCACTGGGGGAGGCACTGCCCAAATTATGCTTCCCACAGTTTTATTTTATTCATTTATTTAAAACTTTGATATGCCGTCCCTTATGCATGGCATCTCAGGATGGCTTACAATCATCAAAATCAAATATACTAAAACAGTCTCTAACAATAATAAATAATATATAGCGAATAAAACTAAATTAAGTCAAAAGTGACTGTACATTAAAATACTTTTAAAATAACAGTTAAATAAAAAGGTTTTGACCTGGTGCTGAAAAGAGTTTAAGTACAGTTCCGCTTGTCTTTTTGCCCCCTTATTTTCTGTCTGCTTTGGGAAAATTTCAGATGGGAATATGTATATAAGCACCCCCTACTGTCTCACAATTTGTCAGCACAAGTTAAAAATGCTGTGTTTGTATAAGCATTTGGTTTTAAAATGAAACTCTACATCTATCACTGTTTGATTCATTTCATTTTATTTCATTCATTTCTATACTGCCCAATACCCAAGGCTCTCTGAGCACTTAACAGAAGTTAAAAAACACACAACACAAATTAGTACAACCCCAAGCCTAGCAACTTAGATTTGGCCCCAGCTTAGACAGGAAAAAAAGTCCTATCACTTTTTCCCCCCAATATACTTTTCCCATCTACTTTCCCTGGGAGCTGAGGAATTTTTTCCATCTAGAATTGCATCTTTAAGGGCTCTCTGCTGCCAGTAGCCTCCAAGATGCAAATTCCCAACTCTCCCAAATTTTCTACCCAGAGAGTTCCTGATTTTAGCTGCATCTACTTCAATTCTCTTACAACCATCACCTCTCTTTCTCTCTGCACCCACTAGGAAAATTTGCTTTTCAAGGTACCCGTCCCCTACCAGAAATGCTCCCATTCCAAAGAATAATTCCAAAGGTGAAGACCATTTATTCTCCCAGCATCTTAACAGTTTAACTTTTAAACTTAATTTTAATCCTGCATTTTATTCTGTACTGCTTGTATCCAGCAGTTGCAACTGCTGTGCATGTTTATGTATTATGTGTTTTAATTAAAAAAAAAACCTTTTGCTAGCCACCCAGCCAGCTCAGCAATTGGGCAATATAAACACGAAATAATAAACAGAAAGAGAAGGCAGTTCTGGTGGGGGCTGCCACCTTCCACCTAAGATGTGGCACAACTTTCAAGAAGGATTCTGAACATGCCCCCATCACAAATTAGAGTCCACCTCAAGCCACAGCAGTTGCAACTGAATCAGCACCCATTGCACCAATGGGGGTGCCCAACCAATAGCCCGGGGAGAGCCATGTGCAGCCCTCCCAGCATGCCAATTCCCCGCTGCCTGCACTCCCAGATCCCTCCCAAAGAGGGAGCCATCATCACAAAGATGCTTCTTTGCCATAGAGGGTTCTAACCTTCCAATGGACCTTTAAAATTTAGCAACAAATAAATCCAATCGTTGGGATGGCGGCCTGTGACAAGCGGGGTCCCCCAGGGCTCTGTCCTGGGGCCGATCCTGTTTCATCTTTTCATTAACGACATGGAAGAAGGGGTGAACAGTCTGCTGATCAAAGTTGCACACAATACTGAAACTGGGGCAGTGGCCACAACGGAGGAGCAGGTACTCCGGATCCAGAAGGATCTGGACAGACTATGGAAGAGGGCAGGAGACAACAGGATGGCGTTCAATGTGGATAAGTGCAAGGTCTTGCACTTGGGGCATAGGAACGGGTGTCATAAGTACAGGTTAGGGGACAAGTGGCTGGAGAGCAGCACTTGTGAAAGGGACCTCAGGGTGCTGGTCGGCTGCAGGCTGAACATGAGCCAGCCGTGTGATGCGGTGGTCAAGAAGGCGAATGCCACCCTTGGTTGCATAGCCAGAAGTGTGGCTTCTAGATCGAGAGAGGCGTTACTACCACTCTACACGACTCTGGTGTGCCCGCAACTGGAGTCTTGTGCTCAGTTTTGGGCCCCTCATTACAGAAAGGATATAGCCAGGTTAAAGTCAGTGCAGTGTAGGGCCACAAAGTTGGTGGTCGGTTTGCAGGGGAAGCCGTATGAGGTGAGACTGAGGGAACTGGGTCTCTTCAGCCTGGAGGAGAGGAGACTCCGAGGGGATCTGTCGGCGACATAAAGGTGTGTGAGGGGGTGTCACACGATGGTGGGTTGAGACCTGTTCTTCCCTGCAGAGGAAGGCAGGACGCGCTCCAACGGAGCAAAGCTCAGGGAGCCAAGGCTCCATTTGGCTGCCAGGAGGCACTTCCTGACAGTCAGGACCCCGAGGGTGTGGAATGGGCTTCCACAGGAGGCGGTTGAGGCCCCATCGGTGCGGGTGTTCAAGGATAGGCTGGACGTGCACATGGTGGGCACGTTGTGAGCGGAGCCTCCTGGTGCAGGAGGTCAGACTAGATGGCCTGGGAGACCCCTTCTGACTCGCCCTGCTTCTATGTTTCTAAGATGAAAAGAAATGATTCCAGGTACATCTCTGCAAAAGCTGCACAGAGGTAGAGCCTGGGCAGCATCAGAGTCCTGAGTCAGGGGCTTTAAGCACACCTCAGTTTCCCCTTCCACCAATTTTAGGAGCAAGGAGGAAGGCTCCAGTGAGACCTGCAGGACCGCAACCAGCGGCCACAGAGCACAAGATAGAATCTTAGCCCCTTGGCCCACAATCGTCTTAGGGTCTGGAATCTAGGAGCCAATTAACTGCAGCCTGTGATCAAGTTCCAAAATTTGCTACAATTCCTCAAATCCGGGCGACTTTGTTGCTCAAGGTCTCTTTGTACCAGGACTGCACATGAGCAATCCTGGGATGCTATTATTCAGAGATATGGTCTTCCGTATCAGCCCATCAAATGCGTCAGAGATACTTGGTTGCCTTGGGGAAATTGCTTATGGACTAGGAACTTGGCCAACTTAAAGGCAACAAGCCAAGTATGATAGCAAGCAAGATGATTAGGAAAGGAATTAAAAACATGGTCCATCTCATCCTGTCCTTATTGAAAACAATTTTGCTGTGGTGGGTGGTCAAATCACACCAGTGGTAAAACTGTGGGCAAGCATAATCAAAACTATCCAGTTCTTGACTACTCCTCCTATGCAGAAAACCTTCATACATGGAATGGAATTTTTTTCAGAAATTTTTCTTCCGCTTCCTATCAGGACTCAAGTCATCAGGTCATTCAACAAAGGACAGTAGCAGAAGATATATGCCATCCTGAAAATGCTCATTAACCGCATCAGCCTTCAAAACGAACATCTGCAATCTGTCCCAGTTGTCTCTAAGTGAAAGGGCTTTTAAAAGAAAAAAAAAATGGAACAATGGAAAGTTCTAGGAATGTCTTTTAGTTAGGATGGCTCTGTGGAACCACCATGTTCAGGAGCAGTCTACCTCTTCATAGCAGCTGCTGTGGACCAGTGAAGGCAGAAGACTATTAACTGCATAGCTTTTTTGTGGGTTGCCTTAAGGTATCTTTTGGACTGCTGTGGGAAACACAGAGCTGGGTTACCTAACTCTTTGGTCAGATCCAGCAGAGGCTGATGGGAGCTGTAGTCCAAATCCCCTTCCACACTGCCAGGGCCCCACTTTTCACTTTCATCACTATGCGCACATTCTGAAGCTAAGGGTACCCATGTCATTTCCCCTATGACAATTCTGGGTATTATAAGAAACCCTTCACAAACACACAAGAATTCTTTCAGTAAGTTAGGGGATGGAAAATGAGTCATTAACCGGCATTGCTACCTTAAAACTGCCAGGAGAACAGAATGGATTTACAGACACCAAACAATAAGCGGTTGCAATAACAGCCAGCTGCTGTCTTAGGCTAAAACATATTCCAAGCAACCCAGGAGAACTACCCTACCTCTGTGCCGAGAGCCTGCAGACTACAACTCCCATGATGTGCAAATATATTTAAAGCCAGTGCAGAATGCTAAAGACGGGCAGACCAGCAAGCATGATGGAAAACCCTTTCTTCCACCCAGTGCTTTCCAAGTTGTGTACGATGGGAAGGATTTGGAGATATTCTGGCATCTAGGTGGGCGAAGGGAGTAGGAAAAAGGCTTGCTGCTCCCGCTGCGAACTCCTGCCTACTCAGGATAGAAAATGAGATGATTGCCTTGTGATTATCACTCTTTGCAAGGTGCTGGCTTTCTCTGCCTGCTTCCAGCCAGCCATGGAGGTCTCCTTATCTGAAAAAGCTTAGCCCACACGCCTTCAAAGTTCAGGCCCATGACAACTTTCTTTCAGTCAGTGTTGCCCATAAAGTAAAACCAGCAGCTGATGTCACGCACCAACTTTTAAAAACCTCACGTACACCTCAAACCCAGGGGATAAAATATGACTGGACAATAGCACAAGCAGAACAGACAGGGCAGCATGTTTTTCTCTAGGGTAGTATTTCATCTATAGGGCAATGGAAAGCTGCCAAAATTCCTTGGAAAAATGGAAAAGCTGAAGCAAGCCCAGACAACTGGAAGTTTATCCCTCAGCTCAGCAGAGAAAGAAACCAGGTGAGAATGGTACCCCCAATCCAGAATATCACCCATCCGTCAACATCCAATGTTCAGTTCTTTTATGCACACATGCAAACCCCAGACATGAATCCGCATGGGAATATAAACAAGCACACACGGCAGGGAAAGCATCCATGCACACCCCATGTGCCAAGTTCTTAGACACCGGAATCACCACCAACTCCATGAGGAAACTGCCCAAATCAATTGCAGTTCGGAAGTGAGAAGAGGTTTTTCTGGAGGTGTGGGGAACCTCTAATCACACACTTTCCCTCCAAGGAATTCAGCAGGACTTACTCCCAAGTAGGCCCAAATTTACACAACTGGGAGTGGTGAGAAAGGGGCGAAGGGCAGCGCATTGCAAGAGGAGTAAAATCAGGCAGAATCGGCTACTGGCAAGAGGGATAAACAGAATGCCACACTGTTTGGCAAAGGCAATTGGAAGAACAGAGGCGCAAGGCATGAGCGATTACCTGTTTCTCGCTCTGCCCTCCCCTCCCCTCCCCGCCAGCCACCTCTTAAGACTCTACAAAAGGGAGGCTGTTGCAATTACTGTTCCCCTTGACACTCGCAGTGCCAGAAAATAAACAAGTTGGAGCATGCAGGTCCTTCTCTGCCTGTCCGTCCATTTAACCTCATGCATGCGCTCCCTCCACCCCTTCTCCCTCCATCCCAGGGAATGTCGGGAACAAGATGGAGCTGCAAGTTCATTTCGAGATCTCCCCCTCCCTCAACCCATGCGCACGCACCGAGCGCAAGCGGCCCCGAAGAACCAAGACGGGAAAAGCATCTCACTTACCATGCTGAAGTCCAGGAGGTCACTCAGCTCCTTGTCTGTTCCCGCCACAGCCATTCTCTGTTGCTGGTTCATATTCCCCCAAAATGCCCGACCTTTTAGACATGGGGAAATGTGGGGGTGGAGAAGGGAAGTGGATGGCAGGAGGAGTGTGTGGGTGGAGAGAAAAAGGGTTTCAGTAGAGGAACAAAGTCACTTGATAAACAAATAAAAACGATCTCACTTTTGTAAATCTTTCCCAGACTTGGAAACTCTCTTATGCTGAATAGGCCAGGCGGCAACAAGTGAAATGCTGCCGACTATGCGCGGTTAGCCAATTGCAATGACTTAAAAGTCATTCTCTGCTGCACAGAGTAGAAAATCCATTAGAGGGGAGGCAGAGAAGACTTAGAGTCCTGGTGACCTGACATAAAGAAATGGCAAAAGTCGAGCCCCCTGTTGTTCCACATGCTGTTGGGAATAAAGTTTGGAGAGCATACACCTGCCCAGCCTGGGTTAGTGCCTTAAAGACACACTCATTGCCATTGATCTCCCATAATTTGCTGTGGGACAAAAACTCACTGGAAGTAACTTTGCCCCTAATGCAGATTGACTCTCAAGCTACTAGTCCATAAGAAGTCACACAACATTTTTGGGCAAGCAAAGCAAGGATCCTGGTACAGACCAAGAGGACACTTCTGCTGCAAAAGCCAAAAGCAGCCTTCCTTCCCTACCCCTAAGAAAAAATGCTATGACCAAATATATTCTGAGTTTTGCTTCCAAACCATCAAAGGTCCCTGCTCCAAATTCAGTCTGTTTGCCCCATCTGCAACCTCTGCAGGCCTTAACTCTAACACTTGCTTGTTTGAGGGTAAATCACACTGCTGTCACTGGGACCTACTTAGGATTTGGGATCTGAAGTGGATTAAAAATTTCTGCCCACTCACCTCTTCTAGACAAAAGCACTTCAGCATGACCACGTTGCTCTAGGCCAGAGCTGAAGAGGGGAAAAGGAAGGTGGGTCAAAATGAAAGATTTCCTGGAAGTCCTCTGACAGAGGAACAGGGTGGACAAATTCACTCACATCCAACCTCCTCTCCCTGTGTCAAAAACTGACTGCAATCTCTCTGGGGCAGAGAACTTCCTTGACTCTCTTCTATTTCACCTGCAACGTGCTACGCCAACCTGCCCCATATGGATACCTTCCAGATGTGATGGACTACAGTTCCCATCATTCCTAGCACATTATAGTCCCACTGGGCATCCAGTTAAGGAAGGAAAGCAGGTGTATACCAACCAACATCCTGTAAGAAGTGGCAAGTTCAGTGGTGGGGCTTAGCCAGACAGACCCAAGTGCAAATTACACCACTGAGTGGCCGCATTTCCATGGTCTCTCACAACAACCCTGTGAAGTAGGCTAAGCTTAGAGATACTGACAGGGCCAGGATCATCCAGTGAGCTTCATGGCCACACAGGGATTAAAACCCAGGTTTCCTGAGACCTAATCCAATGCACTAACCACTACAACACACTGCTCTCTGTATCACTGTCACTCTAGCCTACATCACTGGTTTGTGGAGAGAATAATAAAGATTACAAAGCGTAATGTTTTTAGACCAGCTGGACATGGATGTTTTGATGCTGTTTGGAAGATGTCCTTGTTAGGGGCACTCTAGACGTTAGTCTAAAAGCAATCTATCTAATAAAAATGTAACAACAGGATCAACGGGAGTAATGACCACATTATCAGTACTCCTTGCAAGGGAGAGAAGAAAGCTTCCAAAACAAAACTCAAGTATAATGACAACATGGCAATGCGAGCCAAGAGAAACACTTTGAAAATATCACTGCTTCTAATTGCTTCAAGTCTCTGTTTTTGCCCAGGTTGTACCCAATTTTCAGGTTATAAAACAACAGCCTCAATCCTAGGCAGACTTAACCACGCAATTCCATAGGATTAATTTTCCAGCTGGGGCACACAGACAGACCTGTCCCATAAATTTCCCAGTCCTGCACCCACTTAAACAGGGGTACATCTCATCGGCAAGGGGCAGCATAGAAATGTTCTAATAATAATAATAATAATAATAATAATAATAATAATAATAATAATAGAAGTCAATGGGATTACTTCTGAGCAGGCATAACAGAATTGTGAGTCAATGCACAACAATTCCTCTTACAAAAGAGTAAACCCATCTCAGTAAAACCAGCACTCAGCTCACTTCCACAGAAACACAAGCCCCAAATTTTGGTGTAGACCAGAGTCTCCCACCTTGGTCTACATCCAGATGCCTCAACTACATCACCCAGAATCCCCAGGCCACAAGGCTGTGGGAAGACTGTTTCTCCAAAATCCTTTGGGTTTTGTTGTTCCAGAATAAGATGCATGAAGCAATGCCCTGCAAGCCATTATTTTTCATGTCTGGGGTCTGACTTGTGTTGCCAGTGAAAGGCACTCTGTACATGCTCTTCAACATACCCTGTTTGATCAAACCTGGACCAAAACTCAAAACTACAGAGCTAATCCCCAGAAATTTCAAAGAAATGGTGCAGCAAGCATATCTTCATTATCTCTCCTAAGATAAGATAACCGTGTTAGGGAATGATAAGTGTTGGAGAAGTAGGCAGTTTTTATTGCTGTCCTCCCATAACTAGAGGGATGCAAATCCACTTTTTCACATGTTTCCTTTGTTACCTGCTTGCAAGGTGCTAGTTCACATTAACTCGGTCTCTGCAGTGGAATCCTATACATGTTTTTGTGGCAGGACACACCATGCTGGGTCCAAACGGGCTTATTCCCATGTATGCACATTTAGCACAGTGGACTTCCGAGTACAGAATCACACAGCAATCACAGGTCAGTCCAGTCTGCATTCTTTTTATTTTTAAATAACTTACTCATCATTTTCTATGTGAGAAAGCATGAAGGTTGTGTGAACATGTGTGCATGTTTTGGAGTCATCTGGCTATTTTAAAAAGCATTTTACAGCCGGTGCTTTATTTACCCCGGAAATCCTTGCATAAGGAAATTTAAAAGGAGTGAGTGTACCAAATTTGGGGATGAGAAATTTGGGAGATACAGGGAGCTGGTGGGTCTGGACATAGGCATGTGGGAAGGACTCAGCCACAGTATTTTCCCAGCAAAGAGGCAAAACCTACAATGATTATTTCTGAACGGGGGAACTTGCCATGAAAACACACACAACCTGTGCAAGACCCAAAAGGGAGAAGAAGGTGGGAGCAGGACTGAAATCAAAATTTTTGGATTCCCAGGCCACTGAAAGCTTTGTTATTTACTTTTAAAAGTAATATATGGCCTTCCAACATCTTACTGGGTGGGCGGCATCTATGCAACTGAAATCATTCCCCCCCCCCACACACACACTCAGTTAAGTGGCAAAGAACATCCATACCCTGGAACATGGGGGTCCACCCCCAACACATTCAGAGTAGGAGGCAGGGAACAATTATACACTCTCGGTTGCATAGGCGTGCTCCTTTCTGTCACACACAACCACACACAACCACACATGCACAGTTTGAGATGGGTGGAATGCACACACAACTCCTATTTAGCCCTTCTCCTCTCAACCAGCTGAAAATAACATTAAAATCTTTTCCCCAACACAATGCAAAGTAGTTTTTAATGGGCATTCTGCCTCCCCTGCTCTGAGCATTCCCACCACACCTCCTCTGCCCTTCAGCCTGACTCATCTGGGGCCACTTCTCCCAAAGAGTTGATTACTTCCAGGACAAAAAGTCCAGGCCAGCTTGCCCACTCCAACACAGCCTGCTTCACGCCTCTCCTCCCACCTTGCACCCCTACCATTAAAAAATCCAGACAAGGACAGAAATATTTCATCCAGGTCTTTGTTTTCCAAGTATCCAAGCCATGTAATTTCACACATACATGTACCTATGGGGGGGGGGGGGGGGAGAAGGAAATCCAATACAAATCAAAGTGGGAAGCTCCCACCTCAAGCAAGAAGTTTGCAGTACAAAGAGTTCCAACAGCTGCTTCCCCCCCCCCCCACACACAAACACAGGAACGCATGCATGAATTCTCCTAGTTTTTTACTACAAGGAGAAAACCACATGGTGCCCACCCTCCCCAAATTTGGTTTAATTCAAGCAGACAAGGAATCTCTTATATGCAAGCAGCTGTTGTCCAGGCCTCATCCCTTTCAGCCCCCCCACCCCACTGCAAGAAGATACAGGGTTAAATGGGGGGGGGCATCTTGAGGTTCATGGGTGCAATGATGCAGTATATGTAACCATTCTAGTTTCCAGATGGCACAGAGGGAATACCACCAATTCTGAGAATTCATTAATATTGGTATCCATAAGTACATACATGCAGCCACCTGACAGGTGCATGCCACCTTTCCTCCTCTAAGGATCTCTAGGCAGCTTACATAGCTCCGTTTTATCCTCTAACAACAATCCTGTGGGGAAGGTTCAGCTGAGACTCTGTGACCCACCCAAAGTCACCCAGTGGAGCAACTTGCTTCATGGCCAAGAAGAGTTTAGAATCCAATTCTCCCAGGTTCCCAGTCCAACATTCTCACAAGCACATCACACCGGTTTGCACACATACATTTTCCCACATATAACAACAAGAGACGCGAGTAATGGATGGCATACAAATTTTATAAATACATAAATAAATAAAACATAGCTAACTGTACAGCATGCCATCAGGACACATTTGTGAGACAGGTACACACAACCCAGTGAGAAAAAGTTGTTGAGGCCAGGACCAAAAACCAAACCAATTACAAGTTTGCTCAGAAACCCCACTGTCTCTCCTTCCAAAACAGAATCAAGAGTTCTTGTATAATTTGGGCTGAAAAAGAATAAACAGAGCAAACCAACCCAGATCACTTCCTCACAACACCTTGCACAACAGTCAGTGTGCTCCTGTTGAGGCTAACCATTGTAGAGAACACACACAGTGAAGTAACCAAAGACCAAAGAATCCACACTGCTCAGTCCAGAAACCGTTTACTTTTGAGCCTACATATCTTTTAAACTTAGGCTCAGAAAACTAACGCACAAACGTCCCCAATCATTTGAGCTCTGATTCCTGCTGAACAGGGTTCTGGTGCAAAGGAACTTGCAACCAGATGGGATGACATTTAACCATATCCATCTTATCCTTTTGCCCCATCACCGGAAGTTTCCCCCAAACCTGCATGGATGAAGTTAACAATTAGACACTTGAGAGAAAGTTAGGGGTGGGAAGAGATCAAACCTGGAGTGGAAATGAGAATATTAAACAGGTGCGCATGAAGGGGGAGGCTGGCCTGTGCTCTTATGCACCCCCAAACTGTTTTGGAAGCCTGGACTGATGCGTATGTGTGGGGTGTTAAGGGGGGAGGAATATCTGTCCATGAAGTCAAGACATATCCAAAATAGTCTACTGCAACTTTAGAGATCCTGAACTTTATTCACTGGATTTTTTGGTGTGGAGGGGTGGGAAGGGAGTGACACAGAGCAGCAGCCAGAAACTTCAGCAGCGGGGGTGGTGGGAGATAAAATGTAGGATTTAAGAAGGAGATTATGATGCAATTCTGCACATCATAGGAGCCATTCCTCTCATCCCCTCCCTGTGCGTGTGTGCGCGCATGAGTAGGAGAGTGTGTGTAGGTACATTAAAAGAACAACAGCAACAACAACAACAACAAAGAATATTTAAACTCTTTCAAAGTCAATCGGTCCAGAGCAAAATTGCCCACAAAGGAAATGTCTGGGAGGTGTTTCCTCCTTTCCCCCACATCCATGCTTCGTTTTTAAAGCTACAAAGACAGACTCACAAGGCCAGCGAATGCACAAAAAACACATCTCGAAGTAAGGTGGTTGCTTGCGTGGGAGCTGCAGCTCCCACCCCGCCATTTAAAAATGCCTCCCTCCTGCGTCCCTCAAGTACAAATTCCACGAGGCAGGGGAACGAGGGGGCTGAGACGCCCTCCTTGGACTGGAAACCCGACCTCCGTGACCATTTTAGAGATAGGAGGACGGAAGAGCTGCTCTTGACGGTCCGCACCCCAAAATACTGAGGCTGGGACACCCGCTCTCCAACTTCTCCCCAGCCCAGTTCTGGTTTCCACTAACTTCCCGCCCCATGAAGTTTAATATCACTTCCGGAGGGGGGAGAAAGAAAGGGCGACAAAGGAGGGAAGGACTACGAAGCACGTCTAACCAAAATTAGATAAAATACCAACTGTACAGGCTGAGCGGGGAAGGGCCCTGACAAAAGTAGCCGAGGCGTCCAAGTTAGTTCCATGGAGGTGTGTGTGTGTGGGGGGGGGGGGACCTAAGTCGGGTCTGTCCCCTCCAAAAAGAAAATAGTTCCGTGGAGGGGGAGGAGTCAGAGAAGGACCCCCGTTAAAAGAAAGCGCCCCTCCCCAATTGCTTGCCCCCCACCAAGCTTACCTGCTCTGATCTCTGGAGTGGGAGGGGGGTTCACATCCACAACTGGCCGTGGAGATTCCCGGGGCGCAGCCGGGGTGGGCGCCCCGGTCCCCGTTCCTGCTTTCCTATTGTTCTCCCGGCGGCGGCTGCAACGAAGGCGGCGGCGGCGGCGGCTTTTAACAATGTAAAGCGAACGGAAATGGTTTACAATGTAGCGAAGGAAGGAAGAAACGGGGGGTGAAGGAAAGGAGGATCGCGAAAGAGCGAGAGGGCAGGAAGGCACGAGAGAGGCGCTCCCCGGGCGTTCGATCCGCGCGCGCCTCTCCCGGCGTTCGATTGGCCGCCCCGCGTTCGATCGGATGCTTCGCCCCCCGCCGGAGCCTTTGATGTGGCTCAACGTTCCATCCGCTCCCGGGGAGGCAAGAGTCGTCCGGCCGCCGCCGCCGCCGCCGCCGCTCCGGGCCCCGCTTAGCGGTGGCTCACGCCCGCGGAGCCGCGCTCGCCGGTCCCCTCGCTCGCTCGCTCGCTCGATCTCGCAGGGTTTTCTCCCCTCTACTCACTGGGCAGGCGGACGGGCGCCCCCTTCTCCTCCTCCTCCGCTTCCACACATATATAGACACAGACACACGCACACGCACGCACCAAGGCCTGCCTCCTCCTCCTCCTCTCCTCCTCCTCCTCGAATATCCTTCCGCCCCAGCTAGCCACCGTCGCCAGCAGCTCCACAAACCCGAAAACGGGAGGTGGGGGGAGGGAAGGGAGGAAGGAGCGGGGGCTGGTTTTGCCCACGAGGCTCTTTCCCTCTCGCCCCTCCCCTGACGCTCTCCCCCAAATATTTGGAAAGGGAGGAATGAAAAAGAGAAGTTTGGATCTTTCTTTTTTTAAGCCCACCGAGAAGGAATTCCCAGAAGTTGGAATCGCTGGAAGAAGCTCTGTCATTACCCTCCTTCCGAATCTTTGGGATGGAAAAGAAAGGGGCTTCGAATGGCTGCCCTCGCACGTTTCAAGGGGAAGAAGGGCAGTTTCTTTACTTCAGAACCCAGCGTTTTAAAAGGGAATCAGCAATAATGAGACCCCTCTCCAATGCACAAGATCCCCCCCCCTCCTTTAAAGGCGAGAAAGGAATGAGGACCGACGGGGAGCTGTAATTTTCTGGATATTAACCCTGGCAGGGGTCAAGTTTCTCCCCTCCCCACCATAACTCCAGAGTCAAATCCCCCCCCCCCCCCCGCTGCACCACAGTTCCAGAAAAAGCTACACAATATACCAACCTGCAATGATGTCCAACAGATCTTAGACCATAAGTAGGCACTTCACTGGAAATCTTTCTCAGGGGCAGCCGCTCAAAACAATTCCCACATCTGTACGGAAAAGCCATATTGCTGTAATGGGCTTCCACAGCACCCCACAAGACCCCATAGCGCTCCTGCTTCTCAAGCCCCCAGAGGAGGAATCCCAACCACTGAGAAGGGCACCGAAGAGATGACCTGCAGAAACCTACTTTTCGTAATGCAACCATCCAAAGACCCCATAACCCTTAACCACTCTTGGTCAAAACTTTCCCACAATGGATGCCCCATAAGTTTGGACCTCACTGCTTTCTATTGCCTCACTGAACATCCAAATAAACTGAGCACTAAAGAATAGTTTCATGCAGAAAAGGGTTGTATCGCTTCCCACAGGATGATCCCCGTATCACCTGCTTCCTTCTGCCATTCCTGAAGCTGCATCTTGGAAAAACAGCAGTCGCCCTGTGCCAACATCCTAAACATTCCACTGGCCCCATTCTATGTCAGACCCCCACCCTGCACAGCCCTCCCGTAAGTCAGTAAGAGACCTCCTCGGGCAGAGAAGACTTCCTCGTCCATAGGAACTGGGAGATAGTTCTTTTGATGAAGTTGTTTTGGTGCATTTCAAATCCTACGCAAAATATACTGCAATATACCTGAGCATTTGTGGGCCACAGTTTCCAAAGCTCTCCCCAGGACAGTTCCAGAATTGAACAAAACCTGTGATGTTCTTACAGGACTTTTCCCCAGACATTTTCCTGTGTTCTGCCTCATCCCCAATGACCCTACAGGCCAGCTCCAGTGAACCAGCGAAAAACTAGCCTTTTTCCCCAAGAATTTTTATTTTTCAAGAATTCCCTTGATCGATTAAGACATCAGCTGGAAGAAACACCCCAAAGATGCCATGTCAGCTAGACATTTCAAGGAATGAGCCCTGTCATTTGGTTCCATTAGAGATTCACAGCATCTGACCATGGAAGTTCAAGTCTAATCACAAGCGGAAGAATGGGACCCAGTCAGACCAAAGGCCCACAAGGAATAAATTGGAACTTGCTGGACTATTCCCATGGCAGAGCCTCAAGAAGACATCTTGTTCTTCCTGCTGCCTGGGTTGCTTGGACTGGATGGTGTTTATTTCTTTTATGAATGCATTTTCCACTGTGGACCT